TGACTGACTTTTGTCGAAAAGATGCAAAAAATGAAAGTCTTCGATGACGGTCAATGTTTATCCCAGTAAATAAATTTGGATGTTCTTCAGCGGCTGATACAGCTACGGAACAGCGCCGTATATCTGTTGTTGCTTTACCCAACAATACTTCGCTTATCTGAAGAAAATGAGAAAATAATTTAATCGACGACAGAATTAGTCTTATAAATGAAAATAGCAAATAAATGAAATTTAACATTTATTTATTTGTTATTAAGTTATTTTTTATTAAAAAAAAAAGAGTTGTTGCGTTACATCTCGTCGAATCTGTGCATTTGATTTTGAACCGTATCTGTTTTCATTGCAAACAGCAATTTTTTGGTCATCAATATCAACTTTTTGTTGTTGAAGAAGAATATTAATATTTGTTAGCTGCAAAATATTGACAGTTTGAGTTGTGTTGTTAGACTTTTTTTTGTTTTATTAATTTTGTAAATTGATTTATTCATTCAATAAAAAATAAAATATGATTTTTTGAATAAACCTCAAAAGCTGTTGCTGATGTGCTGCACAACGATGGACTACTAGCTACCGTAGCATCAGGAAATTCTGGTGTTGTTATCGTAGAAATTTTTTTTGTGGAACCTTTTAGGCTTTCTCTGGATCGTTGTTGACCCAACTCGTGTGTGCTATAGTTTCCATGGTGGTCTTTTCTGATTTTTGGGGTATCTGAAAGCTATGAACCATTTGAATAGACCATTGTGGTTTAGTAGAGGTTTTAAAATGACTGCAGTAAAGTACCAATTAAAGTATGATTTTTTTGGTTAAGGAGAAAATGAAGCAGTGTTTTCTGGAAATTACGCTTTTGGTAAATAAGGAAATGGTATATTATGTGCTAATTTGTGTGCTATGAACAGTCACACTTTAACCCTTTTTTGTTGGTGTTTCAACTTTTGATGTTCAATCAATATCAACGACATCTACGTAACCTAGTAATAGTGCTTCGCTTTTCCATGTTTCAACGGCATTTTCTAGTAAAGTTAACTTATGTTCGCTGATAGCATTTGTCAGCTGTGATTTGGATCGAACTGTAGATAGATGAGCTGGGCAACTGAAAAATGGTCAAATAATAGCATGAAGATATTTTGAATCGAAGTTCCTTATTCAATGCACATTATGTAGTTTGTTTTTAGGCACAAATTTAGATGTGTATTTGACGATTTACATTAGGTCATTAATTGTAGCCTAATGTTGTGGAAAAATTGATACTAATAAAATTTTTCTCTTTTTAGATTTTATTATTACATTTGTGGTGAATAACGAATACAATTTTTTTTGATTAATGGGATGTTGTTGTGCATTAAGGGAAAGAGATGGAGGTGTGAATAGGAGGACTGAAATCAAATTAACATTCAACTTGTTTAAAATTTGTTGCTGCTAAAATACATTATTAATTTAATGGTTAAAAGGATAAAAGAAAATAAGTTTTTTTCGGTAGACAAAAACGAAATTTTACCTTGCAAATAAGTTTGTTTTGCTCCTAATTGAGCTTTGTTTTTTTGGTGAATATATAGATGTTGTAGTGGTAGCTGCATTTGTACTACCCGAATAGATTCTGGTGCATTTTAGTAGAATGATCAACCACATAACGAGCAGGACAACAACAATTGCACCCTCATAAGATGCAACATCAGAATCCGGACTGGCATCAGGCACTGTACATTATGGTTGTTGAAGTAACATTTTTTGAAGTTAAACAATTTTTGATTATTACTAATATAGTTTTGTTCAGGGGGGAAAGTTGAAAGTTTTTGCTTTTTTTTTTTTTTTATGAAGATTGAATCAGTAAGAAAAAGAAGTAAAGCAGTCACTGCTTTTTAAAATTTAAAACGGAGTTATTGTTCCCGGTATCGGATGTACGAAAAATTACGGGAAAAAAAACTTAAGAAATGAAAAAAACAGTGGATGAGCGAATTAGTAAATAATAATGGATATTATGTGCCATTTTTAGATGTAAACAAAAAAAAAAAAGGATATTTTCTTTTGTTATTTTTCACAAAAGCATTGCTTTGGTAGCCAATTAGTTTAGCTTTTAATTTCTAATTAATTGAAAAATTTATTTCTGATGACTTACTTGAAATTAACCGGCAGAAAAAAATTTTTGTAATACTATATTGATACCTTATAAATTGTGCAAATAGAAAACATGATTTTCTGCTTTGCTTTATTCCATTTGAAAATGTTTAAAAATTTAAGAATCTATTAATGAATATTTGACTAGGAAACTTCATCAAAAAAAAAAAAAAAAAAACACTTTTAGACAATACTGATAAAAAAAACTTTAAAGGTTTGCTGTTTGTTGAGTTAAGAAATAATAAGATAATCTACATAAATTTACATATAATTTGACGACAACATGAAAAAATTGCAATGTAAACATAATCTGTCAAAGGAAATAAAACTTTCCGTTAAATCTCTAAAAAAGTAAAGAAAACTTTCTGTACATTTATTTTCTGCCTCAAATATTGAAAAATAAAAAAAATGGAATTTAATATTGGTTCTAGAAAGGGTGGCATAGGAAAATTTATTTTTTTCAGTTTGATAGAACAAAAAAAAAGTCAGAAAACAAAATTTTTTTTTTGCTTGTAATCGTTAATTCGTTTCTTATGCTTCATAAAATAAAATTATTTGATAAGGCAAAAAAAAAAAAAAAAAAA